TAATATAATGATGAGAAGAGTGTCGAACCCACGGGGATTGTGTTTAACTAAGTACCAAAATAATTAATTTAAATTTATTTGAACAATCAAGTAGGAAGAAACTTTAATTAAAAATAATAAAAAGAAAATAACAAATAAACCTAACCAAGATAGGAGGCACTAAGACATTGATTTCACCATGATCAATCAATATAAATTCTGGATTAATATACTTTCAAAACCAATTTATTAAGTGTTATTGCATGTGATGGCGAATTTCCCTAAATTAATTAACTAGCTTTCTCAAGTCAAGTTAATCCTTCACTAGTTTGTTAAATTAATCATATCTCTATATAATTTTAAACCAACTAATGAGTATTAAATTCTATAGAAACCTCTAATTTAAGAAGAGGGAGCTCATAACTCTCTTCTCTTCCTCTACTACCACATGTGAATTAATTACCTCTTGATCTCATAATCTAACACACGGTTTATATTATTATTGGTCTAATCTACGCAATTCTTTCTCAAGTTCATGCATAAATCACTAAATTAATTGAAAGGTGATCAGACTTCCAATGCATTAAATTCAATAATATAAACTCCTCACGCGAATAACTTTAATTGAAAAAATAAAATCATAAAATCCATATTAAATTGATTAGGCTACATCGTAACTCTAGTAGAATAAATCAATTCATAATAAAAATAATAAAATCTACAATCATAGTTATGAATAAGGAAGAATAAAGTCAATTTGAAAAAATTACAATCCTTGATCTTCTATTGTTAAATCCTCTATCTTGATTTCCAAGAATGCCCAAAAGAGGGCTGCCACAAGCCTCCCAAAACTCTGCTTAATTCTGAATTTAGATACGCATTTATAGGATTTTAGAAACCCCAATTGAAATAGAAATAGGATTTGAAACAAAAATAAGAAACTGAATTTTAGATGCTGATCGCGTGGTGCTGACACTTTGGATTACGTGTTGACACAAAATGGTGCTGACACTTTGGATTACGTGTTGACACAAAATAGAAAGCAGAATCTGATTCTGGACGTGTCGACACCCCGGTTACGTGTCGACACTACACCCGTGTCGGGTTTCTGACCTCCTTTTGCAAATTTTTAATGGTAAAATGGCAGACTTAGTCCTCTAGATTTTGTACAATGAGCACTTAGATCCCAAAACTCAAGATTCATTCATTTAGGTTCCAAACAGCCGCCCTTCTTCTTGCAATTCAGTCCATCAACTTTCAGAAGATATTTGATTAATCCCAAAAACTCTTATTTTATGCATTCAAGTCCTTTTCTGCACAAAGAATGAAAACCATGTAAAGTCTCATAAAACTCAATAAAATCTCATAAAATTCATCCAAATATCAATAATATCAAGGCAACAATTCCACATTAATATGTATATAAATTTAGCTCATCAATATTATAAGTTTATAACATTATATATTTTTATATAATTAGTTTTTTTTATTCATAAATCTACTTATAATATTATATACATTATTTATTTAATACCACGTCATATTTCATTTAATATCATATAAGATTATAAGTATTGTCGTGATACCAACAGTCAGTGTGTGTTTGCAAAATTGACAGAAAATTTTATTACAAAAGTCTTCACACTGAAAATACATTTCAAATTTCACACTATATCAATAAATTA